GGTTCTCTAGTGTCAGTTCAGTGGTCAGGATGATCCAGAATCAGTACACTGATATCAGTCATGGTCAGGTTGTGTCACAGGTCGGGTTATCATGACTTCTCTCAAAGTGTTTGTCTAGCAAACAGATTCAATCACAAAGTATAAATGATAAACGTGATTCTTGTGAGCTACTATGGTATAAACTCTATGTGAATAAAAAAAATATTAATTTGAGTGGATATGTAAGAACCAATTGATTAATAAAAATGACACCAAGAGCTTGATATGAAATGGCAATAAAATGAGATAAAAATGGGTGGAATAAAATCAAATAAAATCAAATAGGTTTGATTTATGCTGGACTTATACACATAATTTAATTTAATTCAATTCATATATATTTTTTAAATTTATTTTTTGTTTATATATTTTATATTATCACCATTGGTAGTGGAGCGTAACACCTTGGTTTTTGATTTATTCACATACAAATTATAGTTGATATCCGGACAGATGAATATTGCCTAAAAAGAGTTCTTTTTATTTTGTTTAAAATATGACTTCTTCTGTCTGGACTAGGCCATGATGTCTGAGAGGAGATTGAAGAGACTTGTTGAATAGAAAGGGATGAGTTGGGTGATCTTGCCAAATTAGATTTATTTTGTTTCTGAAATATTTCAGTTTTTGCCTTTGATTAAATTTCATTAAAATTATTTCACATTTTGCATTAAAGTTAGGGTCAGACTTAGTGTTAGGGTCTAAGTTAGGGTTAGCATTAGGATTTTAAAATATATTCAACAGATTTTTTTAAACTAATAAATTAGTCATTGTAACAATATATTTTTTAAAAAAAAAAATATATATATATATATATATATATATATATAATTCACTGCTGCATGTTGAAATGTGTTTTTTATATATTACAAATATATATTAAAAATATTTTTACAAACATATTCTTTTTTAAGTATATTCTGCAGATTTTGTTTCAACATATAAAAAATCATTTTAACAATATAGTTTAAAAAAAATGTATATATATATATATATATATATATATATATTCACTGCTGCATGTTGAAATGTGTTTTTTATATATTGAAAAATATATTAAGAATTTTTTACAAACATATTCTTTTTCAAACATATTCTGCAGATTTTGTTTTAACATATACAGAAGTCATTTTAACAATATACTTTTTTTTAAAAAAAAATGTATATATATATATATATATATATATATATATATATTCACTGATGCATGTTGAAATGTGTTTTTTATATATTACAAAATGTATTAAAAAAATATTTTTACAAACATATTCTAGGGGGAATTTTTAAATATAATCTGCAGATTTTGTTTTAACATATAAAGCCCATCATTTTAACAAAATATTTTTTAAAAAAAATGTTATATATCATTATATATATATATATCTATATTTATAGGCCTTTTTTTATATATATATATATATATATATATATACACTGCTGCATGTTGAAATGTGTTTTTTATTTTATATTACAAAATATATAAACAAATTATTTTACAAATATATATTTTTAAATATATTCTTCAGATTTTTTTTTAACATATAAAAAATTAATTTTAACGTATATTTTTACATATATTTGTACATGCATTCCAAAAATGTAGATTTGTATTTTAAAAGACATGCAGTATGTTTGAAATTTATTTTTCAAAATATTTTTTATATATTTTGTAATTAAAAAATGCATTTAAGCATACTGTATATATATATTTATTGAAATATCCTTTGAAATATATTGAATATGGCCAAAATGTTATCATTTCAAATATTGTCAATATATTTGGGAAGAATATTTTTAAAATATATTTAAAATATATTTTTCTTCCATGTGGGACATAGAGTTAGGGTTAGAGTTGAGGTCAGAGTAGTATTAACATTTGGATTAGTATGAGGGTTGGGGTCTGTGTTGATACTGGCCACTATAAGCAATGTTTGCGGTCCCATACAAGTCTATAGGTATAAACAACGTGTTGCACTGTATATACACTATATTGCCCCAAGTATTGGTCGGCCGCCTTTCCACGCACGTGACATTTAATGGCCCCCCAGTCTTAGTCCGTATGGTTCAATATTGATTTTTGGCCCCCCATGCCCCTTCCACGCAAATGACCTTTTAATGGCCCCATGGAGTCTTACCGGGTCCGTAGGGTTTCAATATTGAGTTGGCCCCGCCCTTTCCACGCACATGTTCTTTTAATGGCCCCCCAGTCTTAGTCCGTAGGTTCAATATTGAGTTGGCCCCGCTCCCTTTCCACGCACATGACCATTTTTAATGGCTCCCCAGTCTTAGTCCGTAGGGTTCAATATTGAGTTGGTCCCCGCCCTTTCCACGCACATGTTCTTTAATGGCCCCCCAATCTTAGTCCGTAGGGTTCAATATTGGGTTGGCCCCGCCCTTTGCAGCTATAACAGCTTCAACTCTTCTGGGAAGGCCGTCCACAAGGTTTAGGAGGGTGTCTATGGGAAGGTTGGACCATTCTTCCAGAAGCACATTTGTCAGGTCAGGCACTGATGTCGGGGGAGGAGGCCTGGCTCCCAGTCTCCACTCTAGTTCATCCCAAAGGTGTTCTATGGGGTTGAGGTCAGGACTCTGTGCAGGACAGTCAAGTTCCTCCACTCCAAACTGGCTCCTCCATGTCTTTATGGACCTTGCTTTGTGCACTGGTGTGCAGTCATGTTGGAACAGGAAGGGGCCATCCCCAAACTCTTCCCACAAAGTTGGGAGCATGAAATTGTCCAAAATGTTGCCTTAAGAGTTTCCCTTCACTGGAACTAGGGGGCCAAGCCCAACCCCTGAAAAATGACTCCAGACCATAATCGCCCCCCTCCACCAAACTTTACACTTGGCACAATGCAGTCAGGCAAGTACCGTTCTCCTGGCAACCGCCAAACCCAGACATATCCATCAGATTGCCAGACACGAGAAGTATGATTGGAAAACGTCTCCTCTGCTCTAGAGTTCAGTGGCGGCGTGCTTTACACCACGGCATCTGACGATTTGCATTGCACTTGGTGATGTGAGGCTTGGATGCAGCTGCTCGGCCATGGAAACCCATTCCATGAAGCTCTCTACGCACTGTTGTTGGGCTCATCTGAAGGCCACACCAAGTTTGGAAGTCTTTAGCTATTGACTCTGCAGACAGTTGGCGACTTCTGCGCACTGTGCGCTTCAGCATGCGCTGACATCGCCCTGTCATGTCACGTGGCCTACCACTTGGTGGCTGAGTTGCTGTTGTTCCCAGTTGCTTCCACTTTGTTATAATCCCACTAACAGTTGAGCGTGGAATATTTAGTAGCCAGGAAATGTCCGGATGGACTTATTGCCCAGGTGGCCACCTATCACGGGACCACGCTTGGAGTCACTGAGCTCCTGAGAGTGACCCATTCTTTCACCAATGTTTGTAGAAGCAGTCTGCATGCCTAGGGCAGGGGCAGACTGAGAACTCATGGGGGCCCCCTGGGCAATAGGGGTCATGAAGACCCTGTTTCCTCTCCCACATTCAAACCACACCCAAAAATCCTAGGAAAGGTACCAGAGGAATCTCCTAGGGCCGCTACTGACCCTGTGCCCCTTGGGCAGTGCCCGAATGGTCAGCCCGCCCCTGGCTTAGGGGCTTGATTTTATATATCTGTGGCCATGGAGGGGATTGGAACACCTGAATCACATAATTTGGAGGCTGGCTCAATACCCTATCTATCCTATAGTGTAGATAGATAGATAGATAGATAGATAGATAATAGATAGATAGATAATAGATAGATAGATAGATAGATAGATAGATAGATAGATAGATAGATAGATAGATTATAGATAGATGATTGATAGATAAATAGATAGATAGATTGATAGATAGATAGATATAGATAGATAGATAGATAGATAATAGATAGATGATTGATAGATAGATAGATAGATAGATAGATAGATAGATAGATAGATAGATAGATAATAGATAGATGATTGATAGATAGATAGATAGATAGATAGATAGATAGATAGATAGATAGATAGATAGATAGATAATAGATAGATAGATAGATAGATAGATAGATAGATAATACATAGATAGATAGATAGATAGATAGATAGATAGATAGATAGATAATAGATAGATAGATAGATAGATAGATAGATAGATAGATAATAGATAGATAGATAGATAGATAGATAGATAGATAGATAGATATAAAATAGATAGATAGATAGATAGATAGATAGATAGATAGATAGATAGATAGATAGATATAGATAGATAGATAGATAGATAGATAGATAATAGATAGATGATAGATGATAGATAGATAGATAGATAGATAGATAGATAGATAGATAGATAGATAGATAGATAGATAGATAGATAGATAGATAGATAGATAGATAGATAGATAGATAGATAGATAGATAGATAATAGATAGATAATAGATAGATAGATAGATAATAGATAATAGATAGATAGATAGATAGATAGATGATAGATTTACATTCGATGTCCCTCCCCATGTTCAGATACAGATATTGCCCAATGAACTTGCAAACAGTCCTTCACACCCCAATTGGACTGGACCCCTCCCCCCACCTCTAATATAAAATTACGTAAAAGCAGAATTTGTGATTTTCGTTCTCCTACTAGAGGGACAGAGATCACCACTCGGGGAGGTAAGTACACACTCACCTTCAGGCACAAAGGCATATAATCGATTAAACATTTTACTCGTCTTTCCATGGCTCTCTATGACAATATATTTCCCTGTCTGGAGGACATTTGATTCCCAATAACTGGATACAAAGTAACGTGTCACAGGAAGGCGCAGAGACGAGTATAATTCTGTTATTTTTAAAAGACAGAAAAGAGAGTTTTAAAGTAACTTTATTTATAAGAAAGTATTGACTGACAAAAGAAACTCAGCGATTTCTAACAATTCACAGTCATAGCTCATCAATTTTACAATTTATTTTCCAACAGCAGTTTTTAATAATGTCTCTGGAAACAGGTGGAAGCTTTTTTAAGAGTTTTCCATGTTTTTGTCAGATTTCTGCTTCTGTTCTTTTTTTTTTTTTAATTGGCTACATTTTCTTTGTTTTAGGCTTTTTTCCCCTCTGTTTTCACCTGGTGATCTGCCCAGCAACACACCTCCGGTATTAGAGTGCCCCCACTCTGGATGAAGGAGCGCAGGGGGTAGCTTTGGATAGCAGCATTGTCAGTCTGGGGTGAGGGGAGTGTTAGCTGGACTAGCAGATTTAAATACACTAACAAATTGAAGACAAACTCCAGTTCACGCTGCAGTGACAGCAGCATTTTTTTTATTGTTGTGAATAGCCCTGTACCATGTGACCTCTGTGATCATTCACAGATTTCACACGTAGTAAGCAATGATGTCAGAAATGACATCTTGCCTTACTACTATTCATGCGATCACTGATTGGCCAATCAGTGATCACATGAGCGGGACCTCGCACAGAGGTCCCGTACGACGATCGGTGTTCCACTGTGTCTGGAGGATACAGCGGGCACTGGATCGCGGTGCTGCGCGCTCCCAGGGAGCGCGCACAAACAGGGGGCAGGGAGGCCGTTTATAAATGGCCACCTGACCCTGCACTGCCACCGTCTGGCCGTTTATATACAACAGCCGGACGGGAGGTGGTTAAGTCCGCTACAAGTAGAGAATTGTAATATATGTTATAATTATTATATAATACTGACAGACAACAGAGACTGGAAACTACAGAATATTCAGAGAATTCCATTAAAATGGCAGACTTGGAATAATAGGAAAGAAGGAGCGCTGATGTCCAAAAGAATGCACTGTTGCTGGCAGATTAAGAGACATTTATTGGGAATAATGACAAGTACATCCAACCAACGCGTTTCGGGAGGAAAGACTTTCCCTTCTTCAGGGCTGTTGCTGCACATTATCAAATGGGAAAGATTCCCAGGAAGCCGGTATACTGAATATTTTCCGGGTTTCAGAGGAAAAACTGTCATAGTGACCGCTGTCCTTCCAGGGGCAGCAATGAGCGTTCAGTCAGTCCAGGGTGGTCTTTATCGCAAGGCAAGATTAAATTGCAAATGGCAAGGTTATCAAAGGACAACTTGTACCTGTTTCCAGAGGAAGAATGAATATTTAATTTTTTTTGTTTTTAATTTTAGAAACCTCAAAGCAGAAAGATGAGAATCACCAGCATGCTTCTCATTGTCACATTGGGTGAGTGAGTCCTCAGGCAATTATTCATTTTACCGTTTAAAACGATATTGTGTAACTGAGCCCTAAAAATGCTTAATTACCGTACACTGCTCAGGTGATAGGTCTGCCTTAAAGGAAATTAGTATTCTGCTCTATACTGTATTTATTATGAATTAAGGGGTTAGCAGGGCAGGGTACAGGGGTCAGCAGGGCAGAGGACAGGGGTTAGCAGGGCAGGGTACAGGGGTCAGCAGGGTAGGGACAGGGGTTTAGCAGGGCAGAGGACAGGGGTTAGCAGGGCAGTAAGGGTACAGGGGTTAGCAGGGCAGGGTACAGGGGTCAGCAGGGCAGAGGACAGGGGTTAGCAGGACAGGGTACAGGGGTCAGCAGGGCAGAGGACAGGGGTTAGCAGGGCAGGGTACAGGGGTCAGCAGGGCAGGACAGGGTTAGGCAGGGTACAGGGGTCAGCAGGGCAGAGGACAGGGGTTAGCAGGGCAGGGTACAGGGGTCAGAAGGGCAGGACAGGGTTAGCAGGGCAGGGTACAGGGGTCAGCAGGGCAGAGGACAGAGGTTAGCAGGACAGGGTACAGGGGTCAGCAGGGCAGAGGACAGCAGGGGTTAGCAGGGCAGGGTACAGGGGTCAGCAGGGCAGGGTACAGGGGTTAGCAGGCAGGGTACAGGGGTCAGCAGGGCAGAGAAGACAGGGGTTAGCAGGGCAGACAGGGGTCAGAAGGGCAGAGGACATGGGGGTCAGCATGGCGGAAGACAGTGGTCAGCAGAGTTGAGGAGAGGGTCACTGCTGGCAGGGCACTTAAAGAGATCTCCTCCTCCCCACACAGCAAATAGCTAAGCTTAGGATCCCTCCACACAGTGTGTAGCCGGCTACTGCAGCTGCCAAACCAATCAGGGAATTTCACAGGGCAGAACAGCAACTGCAGCCAGCTACACAGTGTGCAGATTGGTGCTGTGAGGAATCTGATCTCAGCTATGTGTTATGTGTGATCCTGTGTGTTATGTGTGATCCTATGTGTTATGTGTGATCCTGTGTGTTATGTGTGATCCTGTGTGTTATGTGTGATCCTGTGTGTTATGTGTGATCCTGTGTGTTATGTGTGATCCTGTGTGTTATGTGTGATCCTATGTGTTATGTGTGATCCTGTGTGTTATGTGTGATCCTGTGTGTTATGTGTGATCCTGTGTGTTATGTGTGATCCTATGTGTTAAGTGTAATCCCGTGTGTTTATGTGTGATCCCGTGTGTTATGTGTGATCCCGTGTGTTATGTGTGATCCCGTGTGTTATGTGTGATCCTGTGTGTTATGTGTGATCCTATGTGTTATGTGTGATCCTGTGTGTTATGTGTGATCCTGTGTGTTATGTGTGATCCTGTGTGTTATGTGTGATCCTCTGTGTTATGTGTGATCCTGTGTGTTATGTGTGATCCTGTGTGTTATGTGTGATCCTGTGTGTTATGTGTGATCCTATGTGTTATGTGTGATCCTGTGTGTTATGTGTGATCCTGTGTGTTATGTGTGATCCCGTGTGTTATGTGTGATCCCGTGTGTTATGTGTGATCCCGTGTATTATGTGTGATCCTGTTGTTTATGTGTGATCCTGTGTGTTATGTGTGATCCTGTGTGTTTTGTGTGATTCCTATGTGTTATGTGTGATCCCGTGTTGTTATGTGTGATTTGTGTTATGTGTGATCCAGTGTGTTATGTGTGATCCCGTGTGTTGTTTGATTGTGATCCTTGTGTTTTTGTGTGATCCTGTGTGTTTTGTGTGATCCTATGTGTTATGTGTGATCCTGTGTGTTATGTGTGATTTGTGTGTTTGTTGATCCTGTGTGTTATGTGTGATCCCATGTTTTATGTGTGATGTGTGTTATGTTGATTTTTTTGTGTTGTTATGTGTCCCGTGTTTGTGTGTGATGTGTTTTTGTGTGATGTGTGTTTGTTTTTGTTTTGATTTTGTGTGTTTTGTGTGATTTTGTGTGTTTTTTTGTGTTGATCCTGTGTGTTTGTTATGTGTGATCCTTGTGTTTTGTGTGATCCTGTGTGTTATGTTGATCCTGTGTGTTATGTGTGATGTTGTGTGTGTGTTATGTTGATGTCCTGTGTGTTATGTGTGATCTGTGTGTTATGTGTTCCCGTGTGTTATGTGTGATCCCGTGTGTTATGTGTGATCCCGTGTGTTATGTGTGATGTTTGTGTTATGTGTGATCCTGTGTGTTTGTGTGATCCTGTGTGTTATGTGATTTTGTTGTGTGTGTTTTGTGTGATCCTGTGTGTTATGTGTGATCCTATGTGTTATGTGTGATCCCGTGTGTTATGTGTGATCCCGTGTGTTATGTGTGATCCGTGTGTATTATGTGTGATCCTGTGTGTTATGTGTGTGTCCTGTGTGTTATGTGTGATCCTGTGTGTTATGTGTGATCCCGTGTGTTATGTGTGATTTCCCGTGTGTTATGTGTGATCCCGTGTGTTATGTGTGATCCTGTGTGTTATGTGTGATCCTGTGTGTTATGTGTGATCCCGTGTGTTATGTGTGATCCTGTGTGTTATGTGTGATCCTGTGCAGCCTGCTGTATGGAGGATCGCTGTTATAACAGGAGGGGGAGATCGCAGAGAGCCCGCATCTCCTCCCCGCTCTATCCTCTCTGCCACTCCTGTCTGGATGGATTACTTTACATAACTGCGGCCAGCTGTGAGTGTGCAGGGGGAGCTCAGTGGGGCACCCAGCCTAGGGGGCACAACCAAAATCTGGGGGGGGCACAGCCCACCCCAGCACCCCCCTAGATCCGGCCATGCCCTGTACTACCCAAATATCACACATATCTATTGCATAGCCCAAAAAAAATTCACAAGGATCCAAAATAAATTGGTTGTCCATATTGGAGGTTATTTACTAAAACGTGAGAGTGTGGCATCTGGTGCAGCTCTGCAGAGCAACCAATCAGCTTCCAGGTTTTATTGTCAAAGCTTAATTAAATGAGCTGAAGTTAGAAGCTGATTGGCTGCCCAGACTCCGAGTGCTCTAGTTTTAGTAAATCAGCCCCATTGTATTTATTCAGAACTAATGAATCTCTTCTCTTCTGTCTCCCATCACAGCGCTGCTTGCAGTGTGCCAGGCCAGACCACCGCATGGTAAGTCAGCGACTGGAGTCACAATAGGAATCTTCTGCAATCACCAAATACGACTAAAGACTCTATAAAAGTCCAACTGAACCCTCAGATTAAATCAGATAAATACATTCCAGGATCATCAACACAAAACGTGTGCAAAGCCTTGTTAGAAGAGGAGATTGCGGGGGGATATGATCTCCATGTATAATACATAAGGGGGGATATGATCTCCATGTATAATACATAAGGGGGGATATGATCTCCATGTATAATACATAAGGGGGGATATGATCTCCATGTATAATACATAAGGGGGGATATGATCTCCATGTATAATACATAAGGGGGGATATGATCTCCATGTATAATACATAAGGGGGGATATGATCTCCATGTATAATACATAAGGGGGATATGATCTCCATGTATAATACATAAGGGGGGATATGATCTCCATGTATAATACATAAGGGGGATATGATCTCCATGTATAATACATAAGGGGGATATGATCTCAATGTATAATACATAAGGGGGGATATGATCTCCATGTATAATACATAAGGGGGGATATGACCTCCATGTATAATACATAAGGGGGGATATGATCTCCATGTATAATACATAAGGGGATATGATCTCCATGTATAATACATAAGGGGGGATATGATCTCCATGTATAATACATAAGGGGGGGATATGATCTCCATGTAT